GGTTCTGATTAATAAAGACTTGGCACGCTTTACTAATAAGACAACAGGACCTTTCTGAAGGCATCTAGATTACTGGCAAAATAGAAGAGTTTAAAGGAAGGAATGAAGGAGTTTAAAGGAGATGGATGAAGGGAGGTGTATGTTTGGATTGACCAGAATTAGCACACTTCTTTCAAAACCAGCTCAAACCTCCGGTACACTTCAGGACGTGCAGAGACTTCGTTACCTTAGACGGGGATACCTCCGCTCCGGAACAGAAGTCCATTAGTACGATCCTTTTACTGCGTCTCCGGTCAGGGTGGCTGGGCATCGTCAGAAGTCGTGTGGTTTACTCCGTTAAACAGACACGCTTCCTTCGAAGTTGTAGGCGTTACGCCCGGGTGGATTCACATCAAGTATCTTTGACTCCGTCAGAGTTTCCACTCAGAAGTGGAAGACTCCAGAAGGCTTGAGAAGACTCCATCAAAGACTGAGTCCGACTGCTCCAAGACTCGAGAAGACTGAGAAGACTCAGAAAAACGGAAGAGTCAAGAAGACTCAGAACTGAATAGTTCCAGGAAGTGTCGACTTTTAAATGAGTCTTCACTTCCGGTCACTTAGTACTTCCTGATTGTTGAAACAACCAACGGGGTGGTTCTAGTGATGTCAGAGGGTTATTAAAAGTCAAGAGAGGGTTCAGGAATGTTTAGGAACGTTTAGAACAGACAGAGAAATGTTATGAAGAAGTGAGAGGAACGCAGCTGCCAGTGTTTCTCTTTTTACCGTCTGCTAGGTTTAAAAACAATACAGTCCGTTCTAATAACTTGTTTTCTGTCTCTGACTTTTGACCAACATCACTACTTCTCATTTAGACAGAAAATCAAAATGCATAATTACTTTGTAAATAGACATTTAACTTGATTTCTAATTTAAATGAGGTTTAAAAAATCATTAATACTGTTTCACAATTGATTTAAAATGAGTAGTTCACTTCAACATTAGAAATGACATGAACTAAACGCACTTTTGATTATCAAGATATTGTAAAATAGTCATGATAATAAAAAAAAGAAGAGTGTTCTTTCAATTGATTACTTCAGGATACAATTAGACAGTCTCTGGATGAGCTAATTTGTATTTCTGGATTCAAATCAATGAAATAACAGTTCCTGTCCCGTGAAGGTCTTCAGAGACAGGTTTTGGTCGGAGGCCTAGTTCATTACATTCTCCTCACAGGAGGTTCTGACCCAGATGTGAGGAGGACAAAAGAAAAGCGAGGTGGGGCCACAGGACAATCAGACATTGTTGTTAAAAATTTGCTGTCTTTTTCTACAGTGGAGCTGCATGTTGGAGGTAAATTAAACTTTAAAGGATTTTGTTGACCAGTTAAACCTTTATCTTTCAGCCTAGATAATGTTTTTGATCAATAACAACACAACCATGTTATTGTTGATGTTGTGTTCTCATGTCAATTAGGGAGATGATCAGAGCTCTAAACCCCAGAGATCCACAGAGAAGATTCAGGCAGAGACACAGAGGTGCAGAAGTCTGCATCAACCCTAACCTCAGTGAATCCAGTGACCTGCTG